CGGCAACTTAACAAGGGGGCTTCTTAGTCATTTTTTTATTCAATAGGTCTAAGAGAGGTACACAAAAGGAGGTGTCTCGCCCATTTATACAAGGAGAATACACTTTGCAGGTAAAAATGAAAACTGGTTCCATCTGATTTGCTTGAATGGTAAATTCTGCTTACAAATTAAACCGACACCTGTATTTATAGAAACGTATCTTCATCACACCACTAGCACTTATTGCTGCTCTTGCTCTCGCTCAGGAAGTGAAAACCTTCTGACCACAAGCTTAACTGCACTCGCACCATCTTCAACCCATCTTTCTGCTCCATCTGACTTGTAGATAATCTGAGGATGATATCATGGGATTCTGATTTGGGTTAAATCTCATCTCATGGCCACTGGATTGAAGTGAGGAAACACTGATGTTTAAGTCCAAAAGTCCAGTCATGGGTTATAGTGACTGGTGCACGATGCAGTGACCGGAATTCAAATGGAATTAGTTCAAAGTTTATAGTAATGAGGTACATTTAAAAGGTTTATAAGGTACTTGGTTGTTACCTCTGCCAAGTAGGATGTTTTCGCCCGTTTATTGATTTTTTGGTTGGCCGGTCTATCTGTCAGCAGGATAACACAGAACCTAATGTTCAGATTTCCACGAAAAATGGTGGAAGAAAAAAACCAAAACATTAATATTGATCCAGACGGGGCCGAGCCGGGATTTGTTTTTTTTCCACTTTCTTATTAATTTTTCTCAGTTTCTCAGGGAAAAAAATCATGGATCTTGATGAAAAACAGAGTTATTTAATATGAAATGACTGCATGCGTTTATAAAATGCTGGAAAATGTATCTCAGTTCTGTGGCAGCCTTTGTTATTTTTGGTTAATACAAAGGCTTGTAAGGCGGATTTCTTTTACTCTGTAGTGAATCCACATTTCCATTGCTTTCACAAAGGCAGCTATTCAGTGAGCACTTTGTCCACTGCTCTGCTCCCATGCTGCACACACCTTAAGATTAGTGACACGAACCTTTCAGAAGGTCATGACGGCAAAGCGGCCGTGGCATATGGTAAATGTCTGAAAGAAAAACAAAGCTGTGCCTGATCAATTATTCATTGGGTATTGCTTATAATTTCTAAGAAAAATACAAAGTTGAGCATTGCTTTGCTTACAGTAGCTCATGATACACTATGAGTTAAAAAATTCCTTACTCTACTTGCATATAATCTTTGACAAATCATTATGATAATGTAATCGTGTATTGATCTTCAAAGCATTTTGGCACAACTCCCACAGCAATGAGGTCAGAATCTCGCTCAAGGACACTGGAGCAGAGGCAGATACTCGTTTAAAAATGAAATGAAAATGATGTGAAAGTATCACATATTCCGAGGGTCAACGAGGAAGCAGTGTTTCTAATTAAGAACATGTGATGTGCAGCAAATTACTGGAGAAAATACACACACGGGGAACGTGAGAGTGTCGTGTTGTTACCACACACACTGATGCCCGAGGGGTCCCCGCAACTCCTTAATTTACTCTGTTACTCATATATCATGAATAACACTTCTGCAAAAAGGACAATTTGTATCCCATTAAATTAGTGTATGCATTATACACGGATAATCACAGCCGGCTTAATCTCTTGAATTTAGACTCCAGGGGAAAAAAGGAGGAAGAAGAACTCATATTTGTCAAAGCCTAGTCAGCCTGAACAGATGTCCTTGAAAATAATGAGTGGGAATGGCGAGTATGAACAACTATTAATATGCATCCAAATAAGAAACCTATTGAATGTCTATACAACCGAGGTTCCATTCAAAGCAATATACATGTGCCAGGTTTGATTAAACATATTGTGTACACATTAGCCAAGGTTAAGCAAACAAGACAGAGATTTACATGAATATCAACTATAAAGCTAAATGTCACAGTCAAATATTTGCAGCAGCTGTCTCGGTGGCTAACGACAGAGATTAACCTGACAAACTACAAAAGGCTTAAATTAACAGTAATATCACACACACATTATTGTATTTTATCTTATTTAACATAGGTTTGTGAGACCAAAATAAAAAGTTACAACATAGCTCCAAAAAGTTTTTTTTTTCTTCAAATTTTATCACCAGCCACCACTGGAAACAGCAACCATATTACTGCGATATAGTTAAGACCTTCTGTTGTGATAGATAATTTCGTATGATAATTAGCACAGCGAAGGAAGTTATGTTTGTGCCCATGTCTATTGTTCGTCAGCAGGATTATGCAACTACTGGCCAGATTTCCCCAAAACGTGGTGAAAGGATGAGACATTGGTCAAGAACAGATTCAATTTCAGTGAAAATTGTGGAATTTTGTGACATTATTTGTTGACAAGTTCACCAATTTCCCCAAAAATAATCATGGACCTTGAAAATAATCAGGCATATTTAGAGGACTAATACACATGAGTGTGTACAATTTGGTGCTGCTTGATTGAATTTTGGGCATTGGCAGAGACTGAAAAATATTCAATGTCATCCATCGTTGCATGGAAATTACTGTGTAATCCTGCTGACAAACAAGCAAACTAACATAAAGAAAAACACACATTACATACATAATCTGTTTAGTCCTTTATCCAGGATATTAAATATGTAAATATCTAAAAAGGTCTGTGCTCACTGATACAACTTTGTCGACTAAATGGATAGATACCACAGTATAAAGGATTTTGACGCTCAGTCATGATATATAGCATCATATTATTCAACTCTACTTGTCATCAAGCTTCATTTTTTTGTGTAACTGTCACTTTAATAGAGCCATTACTCAAAATAAAATCAAACTGTATGCGTTTACAAAATTATCATTTCATTTTCAGCTGAACAACATGCCACTAAACACACTCCATAGACCCATACTGTGAATTCTTAAGCTTTCAAATAGGTGGACTGAAGTAAGAAGCCTCTACTGATGAATCATACCCATCACTGCAGCTAAATAAGTTCAATATGTCAGTGTCTAGTATCAACCTTGACACATGATGGATGACTGTTCACTGCCGGGCTGACACTGTGTGTGACTGAGTGAAGATTAAACCATTAATGAGAAGGGGACTTCTTCTTTTATTCAGTCTCTGAGCTCTTCTGGAATCACATAATGGAAAATTAGAGGCTGTTCACATCTTCCCTCTATTGAGAAGAACCACAAAAGGTCCACAGCTGGTTTGTGAAGGGCTTTAATGAAGCAGAGCTGCAATTGAAATATATTAAAAATTTGCATAAATTATGGGCACACAACTCATCCCTGATTTTACAGTTGCAACCTCTGGTGGTGCAAAGTATTCTACTGTATTCTCTGAAATATTTCTGCTCGGCTGAGTCCCACAACTCTTCCTTGGGGAAAAAGGCTCTATGACCAGATCTCTCCATCATTTTTAACCAAACCACGGTCACACCTGCTGTACTGCATTTACCAGACCCTCAATTTGTCTGATAGCACCTCACACTCTACTGAGTCCAATCTTACTCTCATCCAAATAGCTGCAGCCTTCCTGCAATCTCCAGCATGAATATGTCCCAGCATGACTATTTGTGTCCAATTTGAAGAAGTGATCCTCCAGATACTGCACTATGAAATGCACAACCTGCTCAAAATATCACTCTTCCTCTTCCCAAATAAATCAGACCTGCAGATCGCATTCAAATAATTTACATTTTTGCTGATTTCTCTCTGTTAAATTATTGATTGTCTCAGCTTTTAGTAATTATATCAGCAGTGTGTTGGCAATAATATAAGTGAGAAAAAGCCTTATAGTTACAATTACATTTTTAAAGAGGCCATTCTGAAGGACAAGGCCAAATGATTGGATAGAAAAATTAAAAAATTAAAATTATGAAAGCTGGACAAGCCTTGGGGGAAGCTCTGTGCTTCACCCTGACTGACACCCTCCAGTCTGTGATTCAGAGCCTGGTTAGCCCTGGAGAATCATCACTGAGAATCATTACAACTTTCTATGGAACAAGTTAGACACTGGACTCTTGGTAAGTCAGAGCCAAGCATCGATGCAAGTCTTGATTATTAGTGACCCACAAGGCTCATTAAAAAGAGCCATCAAAGCAAAGCGCCATACTGCACCCATGCAATGATGCATTAATTCACCCATCGCTTATTTGTTTTATTGGCTGCGAGGCAGGCGGCTCGTTGATCATTATGACTGGGTTCATTACTGAAGCACGGTGCACTGTACTCACAGTCATCTTTAAATTATGGATGTTTTTATAAACTAGAATTGTAATGGACAACTGAGATGAATAAGTAAAAGTCCTGGTCCCAAGGGAGATTGTGGTAGTGCAAATATTTCTTTGCTGGAGGAAGCAAGTCAACTCAATTATGTGTGTGTGCTTTGGATGATTTGGTCCATTCCCAATCCTACTGCTTCATTCATTAAATGTCATGTTTAACAGTTTTAAATCATGAGACGAAAACAAATCAGACGATAAATGGGCGACGGTGAAAGGTTACTTTAAAGTGCAAACATGCACACAATGATAGACACGATCATTACAGCATCTGTTCATATGAACAGAGTTAAGGAGACTCTACTTCTATAATGTAGAACAGCATTTATTTTATCACTTCTCTCAGAGGAGTCATGAAACTTATACTGCACCTGTATCGCTTTAATCAAAAGTAGTGTGGTTCCAGTTTTGTGAGCATTAGCAGGTAAAAAAATTAACTACAGGTTTCGTTGTGTTAATGAGGTTTAAAGTGTAGATCCCGCTCCAGTTATGAGACTATTCTGCCCGAGGGTGAAAAATATTGCAGTTGTTGTAACTGAAAACTAAATGATCAGATAGTAAAAGTACACCTTCAGAAACTGGATAACATCAAACTGAAACATGTGGGGAGACAGAACAATCTACAACAGTCATAGATGGAATTTATATAATAGCAAGTTTCATAAAATGCTTCAATCCTGATTCAGATACTTGAACTTTGCGTATAAGGTATTTTGACAGCTGTATGCTACTAACCTTGCATGGAAGAGAAGATCACTATCCGAGTTGTACGGTCTGGCTCAAGTTAAACCCTTTGAAAAACAAATACAGAGAATGAATGACATAGAACTTCTTTAATTATCTGGTTTGACAGTCACAACTGAAAAAGAACACATATACATAAATCTAAGAGAATGCAACAATTACCCTCTTTTAATAGCTCGACACTGAAATCATGTACTCAGTAGACGACGCCGTTTTACTATTGAGACTTTCCAGCGTGAATTATTACCAAATCGCTGACATTATGGCTGACGCTAAACTACAGGAAAATGCTTCTCCTTTGGCCTCAAAAAACCGAGCTTGCCAGAAGCAGGACAGCGTAACTGCTGGTTTAGAGCAGCAAAGCAAAAGTCATTTCCAGTAAAAGAAAATTACAGTTTTATCTGGGTGAAACTTGAACTAGGTATTTGATCGATGCGTAAAGTTGCATACTCACAGATGAACAACCCGGTATTTCTGGCAGTATCAAGGCAATACTATGATCAGTGTCTGAACATCTCTAAAACTCACTGGACTTACAATGCAACCAGTCCCATCACTTTTACAGACCTTTCTGACTGACTGTTTCCCTGATGTGAATTTAAGTGTCAGAGTCAACACCTTTGAATGTCAGGGTTAGTGATAATGTTAGTGTTGTGTTTATTATCAGTACAATCTCATGTGTCTTGAGCCTGGGCTGAACACATAAAACACACTATACAAGAGATAAAACATGATGCTTACATCTTTTGAAATCCTCCTTATGGAACCGGTGTTCATGTGTGTGTTGTGCGTTGGCGTTCAAAAGATGGGGTCAGGAGGCAACACAGGGTCAGCGATCTTTACAGGCATCACCTGTTGGTTGAACACAAGACAAAAAAAGATACTATAAGATATGATAATACTTTATTGATCCACACACACCAGGGAAGAGCTGTGTGTGTGTGTGTGTGTGTGTGTGTGTGTGTGTGTGTGTGTCCAGTCCCTCCAACACAGTCACATATAAACAGCTGAAATGGCACAAACACATTATTCATTTTAGCAATATGAAGGAAAATAATTAGATCATCGGCTGACATCATATTAAACATGAATCCCCAGACAGCACGTGAGCAGTAAGAAAAACACACACATGAACATTCACGAGATCACAACACAAACTCATCTCTGTCTGTGTGTGTGTGTGTGTGTGTGTGTGTGTGTGTGTGTGTGTGTGTGTAACATCAGGTTCATAGTCAGGTGCCTTCACAACATAAAGATATTCAGTATAAACAGTAGCAACACGCGACTAACTTTAAGCTAGCTCAACGCATAGACTGTATATAAAGAGGCTAAACGTTAGTCCGCTAACACGTATACGTACGACTCGTCTATAACCAAACATTACGCGATCAAACCTTCAGTAAACTCTCACTGGACGTAACTGAGTTAATGTGAAAGCACAGCAACAACACCACGCATCATTTACACACCGCAAACTACTTTAGAAGACGTGTTTACCGGAGACACGCACTTCACGCAGCTCACCTGCTGCCTGCTGCACCGGAGAGGGGGGCGTTACCCTGCGCATGCGTGGACGAGGCCACGATGCAGAGCGTCGCAGGTAGGTCAGGGTCAAAGTTCATTCAGGTGCAGGGGAACTAACGTGCGTGATGTGGGTTTGTGACACGACACAATGGCTCACTGCAGTGACCCCACACCCAAAGATTTTTTTATTTAATCCAAAGTACAAATATTATTCCCTAATCATTAAAAATATAAAATATAAAAAAAACAGCCTTAGGTTATCCAGAAGTGTAAATCACAAAGCCAATATGAAAACACAACAGAAAAGAAGACGACAATAATCCTGCTGACAAACAAACAGACAGGAGCACAAACAAGAGCTTAAAATTGCTCGTGTATGACTTGTTAGAAGAAAAATAGACTTTGTGTTGAAGCTAATTTTGCAGTATAGCTCTAACGCATGTGCGTTGCAGTGACAGGCCTTCAGAAGTGTTGACAGTAAGTGCAGCAGCTGCCCCTACAAACTGACGTGAACGTGTCATGGCACTAACAGCACATTGTGTCTGCTGTCACTTACTATTTGTTGATATCGGCTGCAGCACGACACACGGTGCATCTCTGACTACACGACAACAGAAGGTGGAAATCCAAACTCCATTCTACACGCACACATGTGACTCTCCTGCTCCTCCGCAGCGCACACCGCTACTTGAAATTCAGAGACGAACAGTTGTGGTGCACTTAATGTGAGTGATGACTGTGTTGGGTCGGCGGCTAATGGAAGCAGTAAATTCTCAGCAGTAAATGTACGATCCCATAGGGCTGACTAAGAGGAAACATATTTCATAAACATTTACTGCATCATTAATACAACAGAGATGATCTACAAATATGTTGACAGAATACCAGCGGCTTTTAAATGACGCACTCAGAACCTTTATATAAAAATTAGACCATAATCTGTCAAGTATGTTTTATCTGTTATACTCTTATTACACCTTAGTCTTTAAGTCATGGAAAGTTATTAGATTTGATATTAAAGGTATAAATCAGGTATTAAGTTAGGAAAGCGGTCAGCTAATTTATTATAGGAGGGATATTTCAATGTCTTACAAGGCTTATACCACCCATTTCATATGCTACCAGGTCTTTAAATGGATTTTATCAGGTGGGTGAATGTGTGGGTCAACATAACATTAGCAACAGCTGTTTATCTCCTGTTTAGAAAGTATTTCACAAGCGTTCCATCACTTTGCCAATGGACGGTGATACCTTAACCCAAGCCTAAAGACATTTTAATCAAACCATGTGTCTCGCTAAGGGTTACCTCCACCACAGATGATGTTTTGATCTGCGTTTATTTGTTAATTATTACGCTGGAAACTTCTCAACTGATTTCCATGAAATTCTGTGGCAGGGCAGGAAATGAACCAAGGGGGAACCCTTTCAGTTTTGGTGCATATCCAGATCGGCCAACAGATTTGTTTTCACTTTCTTAAACATTGTGAGATTTGGTTTTCAACACATTTGTTGATTTCTCAGTGAATAATTAATGAATCTTGTTAAAAAAAAAAAAAAAAAGGGCATGTTTATGAGACTGAAATTCATGAAAAATAAAAATCTAGATTGAGTGAATGAGGTTTCATAAGGTTGCTGAGTGCTATTGCGACTGGTGACATTCAAAAAAAGGGATAATCAAAAGTTCCAGTAAAATTTAAAAGCTATTAAGTATTAAATGGGCTGAACAACAGACAAAAAAGTGTTAGTCTCTTTTCGTGCTTGGGTTCTAACATACTATGTAGTTATAGTTGATGACTACTTGAGTCAATGGAGCAAAGGAATTCGCTCTCGAGGCTTGATTGGTATTCACTTGTCATGAACCTAACCATTCTCATGTTTTAAAATTATTTGATTTTTTATGTACGTCTATTTGTTTGTGGTTCTTTGAATAAAACATCCCTCTACTTTATGAAAGCAGCACAGTAATAAAAGGCTAAACACTTCCTGACAAAGCTGATATGTTTTCAAAGATATTGTGCATAAATTTGAATCTTGGGCATTAAAGATGAAATAATACTAAAATAATATTACGTTTTGTGACTTTGAGGCAAAGTAGATTTTGTCGGAGTCGTACACTTTCTTTGGGGGGATGAAAATTACTGAGAGCCCTCCTCAAACACTCTAGTCACCAGTAGAGTACCATTACATTTGTGACAATCCTCCCTGGATTGTGCTGTTCTCTTGGCGTCAGTGAACAAACTGACAAACGGTGCCATTAAACCTAAGTGACTCGGGAGAATGAGTGACCCATGTGATTGGAAGGGCTGGTCTGTTTCAACCCTAATTAAACCGTATCACGCAGCAGCACTGACTCTAACACAACAAATGAAAACATACGGTGCGGAATGTGATAATTATCGACATATTAGAGGAAGCTGAGATGATTTGTGTTTGGTTCAGATTGATGCATTGAGTCTGGAGCATCTCCGTGGACCAGACATGCAGACATGACACATTTTATAATTTTGAAGATGACTTACTTCTTCCAAAAGTCAGATTTAAACATTAAGCTGAGCGCAGTAAAATTTAATAAGCTGTTATTTGCTCAGACATGAACCTTTAACATTTAAAGAACACAAAAGGAGTCAGATGCGTTCACAACAACAGGACAGTTTCGAGAACATTCAGGTGAAATCACAGTGCGACAAAGAGTCTGCTCTTATCATCAAAAGCTCACAAATGTCATTGTCTTTCCATCATCGGCATCCTCTATGAGTATGACTCTTCTTATTCTGTCGCATGTTAGAAACGCCATCAACAGACCCACTACTCACTGTGAATTCCCTGGAAATATTCCTGCTGTATTTTTACTTTTTCGGATATTTGCGCTCTCTATAGAACCCCTCTGGAAAATGTCCAGACTTCAGTGCATGTCTAAAAGCAGCTTCACTCGGACACAGAGGGAAGATTTGGAATTTCTATTTTCGCGTAAGACTAAACCGTCTTATTGCCAACTGTCTGCCTAAAGGAGGAACTGCCAGAGCCGCTGACTGGTCTTAAAACGCAGATGGCCGATGCTTCATGCTCCACATGAGCCAAAAAGGGGCTTTTTATCCCTAATTCCAGTGCATTAACATGGTCAAAATTAATCTCCTTACAACAAACATGTAAATTAACAAATTATTACCTGCAAATAAATGTCTAATTAGCATTGCGAGGCTTGCTTCCCATAATGATGGGGGAACAAAAGGGTTCACGCTGGGCTTCTGCTCACTCTACTCTCCCCCTCGCAGTTTCTTGTCATGCTTGACAAGTGCCTTTTGTTCTTATTTAACAATATACCACTCACTCCTCCGCAGACGCTGCTTGTTCACCCAGCTCTCCCCGACTGGCTGCTTGGAGCGGATGTACAGTTAACCTCACCGACCACTTGTCGTAATGACAGTGGACGAGTGTAAATAAGATTTTCTGAGTACATGTGCCGCATCCAGATGCACAGAGAGAGATCTTACAATAACCATGTGAAGTAAAGATTTTAGGACTGCGACAACTTTCACAACTGATTCTATCTACAGCAGCAGCAAAGTCACAATGACAGGCAGCCATTATAATAAGTCTGGTCAGAAAGACCTTGAAATGTGACTGTGAAAGCAAATCATACCAACAGTTTGATATCTTTTGGCACAACTTTTATGGTAATCTGTCTTGCAGCTCTTTTGTGTGTGTGTGTGTGTGTGTGTGTGCGTACGATTGGCTGACTGCACAGAATGCACCCTCCATCAACATGAGTCAGGTTTAACATCTGAGCACCATGCGCTGCCATCCAGTGTGAAAACTACAGAGTAAGTGAGAAAAACAAGTGTTGAGAAATTGTCAGACTTCTGTCTCTCCAAGAAGCAACTGAGACTGATATATAATTCAAAGTGACACATAAGAGCCGACGTTTGAAAAGCACAAGAAACAACATTAATCCAACCGAAGACTGGAAGAGAGAAAGTGAAGCATAAAAAAAACATGACAGCCACTTCTCACAGTAACTACACACAGCAGTAATTACAGGTGAGGGCAGAGGCATCATTTCCCATCTTCCCTGAGTTCTTTATACAAACATGGATCGTCTCTGATGGATTCCACCTCTGGCACACTCAACACATCTTAGACCCTGCGGATCACCTGATTACCACCCTCTCCTCTTCTTCTCCTCTTCCTCTCACCTATTGTGGGCAAACATTTTGTTTTTGTTGACATTTCACAAGAACACAGAGCCCATGGATACGCCGAGCGGAGCTTTCGATCAATAATTAAGTTATACACATCAGAAAACAAGTTAGCTGTTACAATATTTATACAGATGCTGACAGTGTGAGTACACTCAGATGATGGAGAGGAGTTATCGTGAGTGTGACGATAAAGACATTGGATTTAAACTAAATCTGAAATCCTTTGGCGATGGTGGAATAGTGGACTTGAACTTGGACCTGCAGGTGTGAAGCTGCAGTCACTGTGTGGAAGGTGCACAGAGGCAGGCTCGTCACTGGGAGGTCACAGGTTCAATTCCCCCGATGAGCCATCAGGACGAGGTGAGACAATCATTTTCTCGAATCCCTCTGCAACAGATACGGAGCAAATGAAAGACGCTAAGAAACAATTTCAGTCAGCTGCACAACTGCAAAGTGAATTTTAAGGCTTTAGCCCAAAAGGCTTCATTGTACAGTCGGATAATGTTTGACACACTTTCGAAAGGCCCCTCGGTTTTGATTTTAAAATACTCCACAAGAGAGGATGCTATTTGGTACATGACAGTGCAGAGACACAACAGCATTTCACAGATGAAGAGCCCAGCAGGTGATTTTCCAGGTCGGAGGGTGTTCACAACAGGAAATACCAAGAACATGCATTCAAAATGAAGTGAACTCACTCAGACATTTACCTGCTCACTCTGACATCTTACCAGCGACTTCTACTTCTACAAACTACAATGAAGCTACATCGATTCTTTGTGCTATGAAGATTATGAGCTATGAAGATTATGTGTCTACTTCAGTGTCACTTCGATTAAATTTAAAAAATGATTAGAACTCTCCCAGAGATTAAAGATTTTTTTTTAATATTTTAATATGTCTCATGTGATTAAAAATTCTCTATCAAGAACAAAAAGCAGAGCACAAACATTTGATCAAGGGCAGGAGCTTTGATTCAAAAAATAAATTAACTTTTTTGAAACGTGAAGATTAAACTACAGTTATAATTTGTTGAGTGGAGCACGACTTCATATTATAGAAGAAAGTATTTGATAACATGAAATCCAATAATTCCATCTTTGTCACATCACCAGAAGCTGAGGTCAAGGGAATATACATTTCTGGAGGATTTTCTAGGATCACGTTTGCTATATTATTTTCTCAAATTCACCTCAGTCCTCACACACCCTTGAACGAAAACCTAACATCTAAGTGATCCTGCATCAGCACTTTACAAACGCAAAGCAATAACCACCACAGAATTTTATTGTACTTTGTATTGAGTGTGTTTTTAAGCACCGGACATCCTATTCTAGCTGCAATATCGTTTTTTCATTTCATTTTATTCTGTATTTTACATCCACAGATGTTATGTTTTTATGGGGAGGGGGTTATGTGTTTTGTTTCTTGTGTGGCAATAAAGTATTGACTCTTGAATCTGTTCAGACAGACCGGCCGGGGTTGAGAAAGATAATCCACTGAAGTAAAAGCCAAGTTATTTAAGGAAATAATTTGCTTTAGTGTATGTGTATGTAGACTTTAAAGATGCTGGGCTCCTTTACTTAGCGTTCACACACACACACTTGACCACAGCAGCTCTTTACTGTCTCTGTTTCTTGCTGGAAAACTATATCTCCATCTTTATGCTATGGAATGCATCTGTGCACATTTAGGACAAACTGTAAATAAAACCTGTTCATTAGCAAAACATCCTCTTCCTCTCTGCTCTGTAGTTCTTGGGAAAATCCTTTCAGCCAACCACTAAACATGAAAATTTCTGTTTATGCAACATCAGGTGCAAATTACACCTTTTTGTACTGTTCCTCCAAGTCAGGGGTGTTTGAACAGTGTACAAGCAGTCAGTTGCCTGGGGTCCCGATCTCAGAGGGGGGCCCCCAGAGAACAACTGATTAGTCCACAACGACAATTTTATGTGAACCCCCTAAACACATATGATCAGCTTTAAACAGGAAACTACAACAAAACCATTTACCCACTAATGAGGACCTGTGCATTTGGTATGCTGTCAAAAGCTTCATGATTATAAACTTTACTTATTATTATACACTTTCAGGGATTGGGCCCCCAGGTCCATTTTGCCTGGGCCCCCAAGGTCCCCTTGAATTGCTCCTGATGTTTCGCCTGGATTACTGCATGTGGTGAGCGCATGTGTGTGGATGTCTGGGGCAGCGGACTGTTAGAAATCCAATGCTTCATCTATACCTGGTGTCTGTGGATGTGCAGCCTGACTCTCAGCTGACACATCTCAACCCAAACAAACTCACATGCTCCTCCCTCCCCCTGAAGACACACAACTCCAAAAATGAGGAGTAGGTGTGATGTGATGTGATTCTGAATTATGGCCAAGTCACAGACAATCTTTTGCAGCTTGTCGTAGTTTGGATACTGGGAACATTGGGCTGAATTGCAGGCTTGTCCCTGAGCTTATCACATTCCCACAATATCATAATAATGGTCCAGGCCGGGGGCGTGGCAGTGGTGGGGGAGTTTTATGAGAGCAACACATGGGGTCTCATCAGGAACCAGAGCGCACATGAGGGAGGCTGCGGCTGCACGGCACAACTCCTGGCACACATGGAGACGCACGATAAAATCATTTTGTTCTACACGGGAGATTCTATATTATTCATCTAAGTATCTTAATTGATCTTGGTGAGCAGGATGTAGATCACAGCCTCAGATTCTGGTAAATGGGGGTCCTTTCATGCGCGCGTATCCATGTCGTCAGATTTGTAAATTGGCCGCGGTGCCGCGCGTTTTTCGTGGACTCTCCAGCCTTTATTGAGGGAACGAATGTGAATCCATGCGCACATCCAACCACTACAGGATTTATTCACATGTAAAGTGCTCATAGTCGGGATGGATTCCCTTAACGCGAGCGGAATGGACGCGTTCACGGTGATCCATCTGAATTCCTCCTCCTGGAGCCTGGACAGTGGATATTCTCTGGCAGCGATCGCCGGCATCGCAGCGCTTGTAAGTTTCCTCATACTCTTCACCGTGGTTGGGAATATTCTGGTGGTTATTGCCGTGTTGACGAGCAGGGCACTGAAAGCCCCCCAGAACCTCTTTCTGGTGTCACTGGCCACCGCGGACATCCTGGTCGCCACTCTGGTGATGCCGTTCTCTCTGGCCAACGAGCTCATGGGCTACTGGTATTTTGGAAAAGTTTGGTGCGGTATTTATTTGGCTCTGGATGTTTTGTTCTGCACTTCGTCTATTGTGCATCTGTGCGCAATAAGCCTGGATCGGTACTGGTCCGTTACGCAGGCGGTAGAGTACAACCTGAAGCGGACTCCTAAACGCGTCAAGTGCATCATCTTGATCGTGTGGCTCATATCTGCGTCCATCTCATCTCCACCTCTTATTTCTATAGACAGCAACAACGATGTCAGCTCTCAGCCTCAGTGCGAGCTGAACGATGACACCTGGTACATCCTCTCCTCCAGCATCGCGTCCTTCTTTGCGCCATGCTTAATCATGGTCCTGGTCTACATCAGAATATACCAGGTGGCCAAAACCAGAACCAGGGCCATGTCGGGAAAAGATCCCAGGCCAGATGGTGCCACACAGACTGAGAACGGGCTGAGCAAAGCCACTTCCCCTTTCCATGGCGAGAAGGAGAACGGCCACTGTCAGTGCCCGCCTACGCCCAGCCAGCGCACCGTCACCGTGGGCGCACAGACCGAGGATGCTGACATGGAGGAGAGCAGCTCCTCAGAGGGCAAAGGTCACAAGCCCCAGGACCAGGACTCCCAGAGAGCCAAGAGGCCCAGTCAAAAGAAGAGCCCTCTCACCAAACACTCCTCTCGCATTGCAAGAGTTAGCAACAAATCCATGGACCTCTTTGCCTCCAGGAGGAAACGTCGCCGGAGCTCCTTAGCCAGGAAAAAGGTCTCCCAAGCCAGGGAGAAGAGGTTTACATTTGTCCTGGCTGTGGTCATGGGGGTGTTTGTGGTGTGCTGGTTCCCCTTTTTCTTCAGCTACAGCCTGTACGGTGTGTGCAGGGACTCCTGTAAGATACCTGACCCGCTGTTTAAGTTCTTCTTCTGGATTGGCTACTGTAACAGCTCCCTGAACCCAGCCATCTACACCATCTTCAACCGGGACTTCAGGCGAGCATTCCAGAAGATCCTCTGCAAGTCGTGGAAAAAGTCCTTTTAGGTCGAACAGCAGAGCTGTTGCTATCTGACAATCTTAAAGGAGATATCAAAGTGAATATTAAAGAAGGAGAAGAACCTTGTTTTGTCTGTTACTGCCACTTGTTACTCACTGTTGAGTCTCATTGTCCTGTTGTAATTCAGCCATGGACGTGCACACTTTGCTCTACCTACAGTAGGTGTCTCCCAGAGCTTCAATGTGAAATATGTTTCCATTACAGCCTTTCCTTATCTGCTAAGTGAGCTCCACAGTTCTTTTTATTCTTGCTGTACTGTGCTGTCGCAAACTTTCCACAGCGTCCACAAAAGATAAACACGTGGCCGGATCTATCTGCTAGGAGGCCCTGAGGGCAAATATAAACAGTTGGGCCCCCTCAAACCCCCCTGAGTTTTTCCCTCCCTCTTTCTGCTAAGTGTGCATTTTATTTAGTTTTATTGGGCGATGAACGTTACTTAGCCACAGATTTATTGTGTGTTCATTTGAGTTAAAATATTAATTAACAAAAATGGGAAAATTGAGGTTTTAAAACTTGATTTGACACAGGTGATGTTTTCATGACAGGGGCTTGGATCAAGAATAATCTTTCTAGGGCACAGGGCATTTTCCACTGTCTAGACAAGGGTTAGATGAAAAGATTGGTATTATTCAATGTCTGATTACCCTAGCTTAGCATAAAAACTGGAAACAAAGGGAAAAGGCTAGCCTCGCTCTCTCCAAAGGTGACAAAATCAGCCTCATATGATTTCTATAGCTCACTATTCGGCATGCTATCTCTAATTTGTTTAAACTTTACTAGAAAGAGTGAAAACATCAATCCCCTGGTTTAAAAGGTGCAAAAATGTTGGTCCTGGCTGAGACCAGTTGCTAGGCAATCAGTGTAATACCATCATTCAGAGGCACGTTGTCAGGACAAGCGAGGTTGACTTGTCAAAGCTAAAAATAGACATCAATCAAAACAACTCAGAAGTATAAATGACATCTCTCCTTATATCTCAGAACAGGACCTTTGCATCTATCTTATAATTTACTGCCCTCTTGTGGCAACAGTAGGTCTCTGGCCAATCCAACGCTATAATTCCCATCATGCTTGCGGCCGTGTCCCAGTGACAGAAGCTGGGATTTCTCACTTTGTGGAGGTTTGCACATGTGCATTGTGGGTAATCCAGGGATGTTTGACAAGTGACGAGAAGCTATTTTACTTTTCAACAAGTTGTGGAGCAGCTTTTGTGAGGAACACGTCAACAGACATATTTATTGAAATGAACCATGTAAAATATCCACTGTTCAGTTCAGTTATATCTTTATCCTCATGTGAATGAAGGTGTTGGATCTCTGTGTTTGCACATAAGAGGTGAAAGGTCACCACAAACCCCTGCCATCCTCCAGTCTTAATGCTAAGCTATCAGCCACAGATTCCCAGTGCACAGTACACAGGAGTGGTGCTGATCTTCTCTCTAACTCTCAGCAAGAAAGCTGAGAAGCATTTTCCCCAAAAATGTCAAATTATTCCTGAACATGACATCATTTAGCCACACTGAAGCCCTCGTGGTGTCAGTGTTGTCCTTTAGTTTTTAATATTTGTGAGAATACATTTAATTCAAAGAGCACAAACCCATTCTCACGCAGTAAGTCTGGAGCCGGCAGTTGTTTTCCTTGTGTGTCGTTTGAATAACTTTAGTGGCCTGAAAGGCTTAAACTATCAGTATTTAATGAAATAAATATATAAGACAAGGTTCTTAAAGAAAAGTCTGAAAAATAATGGTTAAACCAAATATGTTTGTTATTCTCCTTCATGACCCCCTGATGTATCTCTTTGCAGGTCATTAGCACTGATTCAGTCAATAGAGTTAGATCATGTTTATTGTTTCCTTTCTGCCATGATGTTATCGACCTTTCACATTTTGGAGCATCTCTGCTGTAACCACAGTCTGAAACTGACTAATGGCGTAACAGCAGACTTACTTACCACAGTCTTGGTGTCTTGATCTAATATTGGACCTAAAAGCTTCGGGATTGCACAGTGAAGGGCTAACGCTCCAGACTATAAGCTAATTTTTTTTATCATGTGCTAAAGAGATATTATAACTACTGAGTATTTACGATCAAATGCATTTACTTTGTGTTTATTTTGAAAGAAACTACCTCTTTATTTGTGTGTTTATTTTTTGTTGGTTTTTGATTTATATTTTGCAAAGTGCAGTACACATCTTTCCTCTGCTTAAGCTGTATGCTGTCGTGCAAAAATAAAAGATGACAAAGTCCCATATGTAAGCAGTGTTGTGGTGTTACAACATGGAGCCTCACTGATATGCACATGTGCAATAAATGTTTTGTATATTGTTTCAATTGTAAAACAGACACAGATACCAACAATTATATAAAGATGGCTGACACGATGGCTCCAAAGTGAAGCCAAAGCGTCTTGATTTCCCCCTGGTGGCTAGCTGCAGTAAAAGTCAGGAATCCCACCTGATCCATGTTGGTGGATGGGACGTAGATCAAACTAAAAAGTCAAAATCCACGTCAAATAAACTTTTGGCTTCTGTCATTTTACATTTATATTTATATTATATTTATTATCACACTGTTGTATCTTCAAGTGTTCATTTTCCCAGTAAGTTTCGTCGATTCTATAAACAACAAGATTGAAACACTGACTGGTAATTGGTGGAGCATGTTTATTTGCGTCTGCTAAGTGAGCACATTTCCTTCATAGAGAACAGAATAACTGAGTGGCGTCTGTCTGTAGATGTGGCAGATTTCATCAAATAAAATCTAACTCCTCATTTTACTTCTCAGCTGAAAGAGAAAATCCCCATCTATATGAATCAAGTGAGATTTTCACATTTGGTCTTAATGTTTACAGGTACGTCTGTCTGGTGACTACAAACCTCCCCATTATCTCAATCATCAGTCTTTACAGTGACAATGTGGTTGTAACAGGGGAATCAGCAAATATGCCATAATAGGGTCAAATAAAAGCGTCCAGTCCTGTGTTGGACTGTGGCCATGCCGGTTTCAGGGCGCCGGTGCCCTTTTCAGCACAACACGTTTGATGTTGGTCCTGGCTGCCTCGTGATTTTAGTATTACCCCCGGAGCCCCGATGGACTGGAGAGAGGTGAAACTGAATTCCCCACACTCCAAACTCCTGTTGTTTTCCTCCTCACTCCTCTGCTGCAGACCGGGCGCCAGCAGCCAAACGCCATTTATGACTAGTAACAAGTCCATGTGCCGCTCATAGAACTACAGATAACAGCGTCCCAGCCTGTTTGACTGTTTGAATAAAGAGATCAAACAGTTCTGCTCCTCAGGAAAATGTTTACTGACAACTGCTTTTGAGTTAGATACACACCAGATCTATATGTGCACTCAGAGTTTTTATCTGAAAGGAAATGCTGTAACTGTCAAATGTTCCAATAAGCTCAAAGAAAATGATATGAACAAAGATTAAAACCTTCCAAAAAATACTCTTTATGTGGAGAATTTGGATATAAAGGATATAAAGGTTAAGGGAAAGGTTTGCTCGTTTTAAATGTGTATTGGGATATTTAGCCCATGTCCTGTAGCCCTACAACTGAAAATAATAATTTAAAAAAGATGGTGGTTAATGGTAAAAAGTATGAAGTTGGATAAGACATTAGCTGATGCCTGGCAGTAATATTTACCTTCAGATGAGTATTTGATATACAGTCATGCAGTCAGGTTTGCTGAAGCAGCATCAAAGCATCACGACTCCTAAATCTCCATTTCAACGTGTGATGAATTAGGCAATCGTGCATCGCAGTGTGGCTGTCGCACATGATGATGGAGAGCACCTCAGATGCTGTTCACACACTCTCTGCCTCCCTCGCTCTCTCAGCTGAGCCCCACAATCTGCTGCCTGAGCAGAAAGCCGCCGGGCCGTCCCGTCAGGCAGCTCAGACGTGACGAGGCCTGGATGACTCAGCTGGGAAAAAAAGGCTGAACACCTGCAGTAGATTTTCTCCTCAACTGAACTTAGCGTCTTTCTTTTTAAACAGAGATTTTGAGCCACAACTTCTGTAAGTACCTGATCAAGCCAAAATATCATAATGGAAACGAGCGCACCATCTTTGACTGGTGATGTCGTTTGGAGCCAGATAGCAGTAGCGATACAAGGTCGAGTCTCAGCTGTCAATCTTGACGCTTCACCTTGTTTTATAGCATCAAATAAATAGTCACAACCAAACTCTGTGGGAAAATGTGCACTTGGACAATCATCAGTGTGATAAAAATGACACGATGAATGACAGAAACCTCCTTTGACCTGTACTGCAGCCAGCCGCCAGCAGGGGATGAAAATAACAATGAAAAGAATCCTAAGGCTAAACACTGAACAATTTCCTCAAACACCTGCAAATGTTGCCCAAGCAGGTGTGAACGGTTCATTGCATGCACATGCATCTGGTGCGCTCATGAGTAATAACTCCAGGACTAAGACTTCAAATAAACCACAGTGCCCACGTTCAGCGTAATGAAAGAACCCCACTGATGTGTTTTTAATCGTTTCTGGACACAAACAGAATTCTACAGCACAGAGGGGATAAGTCAGATCAGGCTTGTTTGCCAGACTTATTACCTCAACCAAGGAGGATGTTTGTTTGTTTGCTAGCAAACTACAGAAGGGATTTCCTCTGAACTTGGTGCAAGGATGGGAGATGGGCCAAGAAAGCACTCATTAAATTTTGGCTTGAATCTGGGCAAAGGGGTAATTTTTGCTTTTTCACTTTCTTTTTCCACTTGCACTGATTTCTCTGAGAATAATTCATGGATCTTGATGAAATAAATCTTGTTTAGGCAATTGAAATCTATGACTGTGTACACTTTGGTGCAGATTATAGTAATAATTAATATTAACCTGGATCTCTCGGATCTAAATGTGGTTTCTTATAGGGGGTAGATTTTCAAGTTGAAAAATCTGAGGTGTGTGCTCTACTCAAGTACTCAAATCCTTTATTTAAGACAAACTTAAATAACACAACCT